GAAAATATAAAGTATACTATAAAATATAAAAGTGTACTATTTTTTTTTTCTAGAGTTGGAAGTGGTCCTCGGAATCTGGGGGTCATGTGATTGAGCACCACATGCAGATGTGTAAATTAGAGTCTGCTTTGAGCTCCGTTATTATGTACAGTCTAAATGCATCAGGCGGGCTTCAATAATATACCCATTATACCGCTATGATAAAATATCGAAAATATTTCAAATTTCGTGTGTTCGAAAGTACGGCGATATTATTATCGTGTCGAATTTAATATCGAGCAACGTATGACTGACTACGCTGCAGTCTACTATACACCTATACTTGAAATCGTTTAAAGACACAAATTACTTTTTGTACTTTTACAATATTGATATATGTACAATATTACATATGTATAACGTATAACAATATTTCGTTTGAAATACAAATTTAATGTGCCCAAAGTGGTCTGAAAGGTTATTGAAAAAGGTACGATTTTTTTTTTTTTTTGTAAAACTTTTGGCAAGGCGAGAAAAAAGAAAAAGAAAAAAAAGGATTTTCCGCCTAGAACTATTGTTTTATTTTTTCTATACTAAAACTGCTGGCAAAAATTCAGTTTTTAAAAGTTATAATTTGAATTTAAAGGTTTTGTTTCGAATCATAATCAAAATGTAATTCGCAAAATAATATACATAATATGTGTATTATATTATATATGTACAATGTTTATTGTATATAGGTATATAAATACATTATTTTTTCCTGAATTGTCACTATGATTTTACCGTCAATTATATGCTTTTACAATTTAACCGACAAAATAAATGTTAGACTGTGTTCCATCGTTGGTCGGCCAAAAGCAATTTATGAAATGTCTGTTTGTTTAAAAAAAAAAAAATGTTTGTTTCACTTTATTATACTAACGGTCCCGAGTTTTACTTCTTAACATTTGACATTATGTCTCCGTCGCTCGTTTATGGTATTATTGAATATTAGCTGAAAAAAAGTCATCAAAAGTCAAAATAAGTTTTATTTTTATTTTTTATACGAGACAGAAGTTTTTAAACCTTTTAAAAAGTTTGAATATATATATATATATATATATATATATATATATATGTATATCTAGTCCACCACCATCGAGCTTGGAAAAAACACGACGTATACCACATTATGTAATATCCGTCATTTGTACGACATTTTGACAGACCTCCCCCCCAAAAAAAAAAAAAAACCCAGACAGACGTCAACGTGAAAACAATGTTTGATATTTTTCAATATAACACGAACCTGATTATTATATATTATAATAAAAATACCAATAACTGAAAAGTATTTTATTTCGGTTAAAGGAAAAGTCGTATTTCGTTTAGTTTTGTTTTTCAAATATTCAAATATTGATATATTTGCTTACTAGTTACTACACAATATTTTGCTTGTGATTTAATCATAAAATGACGAAGTTAAAACGACCGTTAATATTGTACTATGGAAATGATCTGGCCCGGATTATTAAAGTAGGCATAGGCCTACTAAGTATTGGCACTCTCATGCGGTTGACAATGGCAGCTGCTATTTTGGTTTTGTATAGTGGAACACATATTATTTTAACACGTCATAAAATTAAACGTATATGAAATTGTTTTAAATAATATTATTTTGTGTCATAATAGCGAATGTTCCCTTATTAGTAGCGGATGTATATTAGTATGAAATATTGAAAAATAAATTTGTCTACTTTCGTTTTTAAATATTTTTTTATTGGTTCGGGTTTGTGTAGTTTGTTTTATAAATCCATAATGCTGACTATAATATTATGTTCGTAACAAATTTACTTATATAATTAAATACTAATTAAAACTTACGAAAATTATGTTATTCATTTTAAACTTTAATTATTAAATTACTTAAGTAATTCAAGTTGGCATTGTGCCGTAATAAACACATATTTACACTGTCTAAAACTCTGAAATTGCAACTGATTAAAATATTTGTTAAGACTACCTATTGTTAATTGTAGATGTTTAAAATGGGTTGTTAACAATTTTTAAAAAGCTATGAGCAACATTGTTTAGTGTAGATGTCTACTAAAGTTAGATTAAATCAGATACAATTTTAAATTATTGTTTTAGTTTTCATCAACGTGAACAATGCAACTTTCATTTAATATTTGAAAATAATACATTTCTTCGAAATTTAGAATCATAGTAGACTAGATTTATAATTTCGCATAACATACATTTCTGGTGTTAGTTCCTATTGCTATTATGGCACATTACATTCAAATGTGTTAAATTATATAAATATATATTATATTTCACAATGCAACAATATGCTGCACTACAGGTGGGATAGCCACATAAAAAAATAAAATATATTATATTATAAGCAATTCACTATTTCAGGGGTACGTGCAATAGTGAATTACTTCCTCGCAGTGCACCCCGGACAACGTTTTACACGGCTAAAGATTTACCACTACCGACCTCCGTACTGTTCTCACAAATCTCACGGATGTGCACACGCTAATAATACTATTTCAGACAGGGGATTAATAAATTAATTTAAATGAAAGGTGAATCATAGTCTTTTTTTTGTATTATACGTATACCATTATTTCCCCTTATACTATTAGAATCAAAATATTAAAGGTTAAAAAGTGAAACCTTGTCGACAACACCCAAACAGTTTTATTTTTATTAAAAAATTGAAAAACCTTCAACAGAATGTTGAGTTTGATATTCTGTCCTGAAAAAAAAGCACCAAAATGAGAAAAAAATACAAAACGTTAAAAGACAGATTAAAAAATGCAAAAGAGCGGTAAATACTAATTAATTAAAATATATTAATACCTAAAATGTAGGTTATAATTTAAATTCATAAATGGACAAATAACAATCATGACAATCAATAACAACCATTCGTGGTATACCTAGAAGAGATTATCTACCACTCATCTCGATTAAAACTAAAATATTTATAATCAGTAAATATTATGTAGTACCTACCCTTACCAAACAATTATTATTCATATTTTATATTGACGAATGTTTATATATTTTTAATAAATATGTAAATGATGTGTCAATTTATTTTATTACCGCCATGTCTTATCCATATAGTTAATTAAATCATAAATTAATATTTTCAAGACAAAACGAACAAAAAGTAAGATAATGAGGGCGGGCGCAGCCATTGGCGTAGGTAGGAAGTTGGGAAGGTCGGACGGAAATTAAATGTATATCTGTAAGCTACAATAAACCATTAATAATGGTTAACTATAACGATAAAACGATTGTGAGCGGAGTTCATTTGATAGCGGTGCTTTTTTAACTATAGCAAAGCTACAGTAAGTACTAAAAACGGGTGGACAATATTTGCTCTTTGGTTTAAATTTGTTACTTCTCTATAATAATATAACAATAATTATATTTTATTTTGTTCTATATAATTGCAATGATAAATCCCTTATTTTTCATCTGGCCCATTAGCTCAGTTGGTTAGAGCGTCGTGCTAATAACGCGAAGGTCGTGGGTTCGATCCCCCCATGGGCCAAAATTTTTTTTGTAATTTTTTCTTTTTGGATTGAGCGTACGACTTAATATCAAAACAATTCTATTTTTACGAATACTTTATACGGTTTCTATATTTTATATTATAGTAGATGCCATGAGATATTGGTTAATTATCTGTTTTAATATTTTAATTATTGTATACTTATTGTCTTGATTTGATTGTAAATTCCTTGGATAATATAATTTTAGTTTAAAAACCAATGAACAATTTTATTTGGTCGGTTTAATTTTTCTTTTTATATTTAAAAGTCTTAAAAATTATGTGAACCAATTATTACCAGTAATCTTGTTCTAATCTAAAACCGATACGAGAGCTTTTGTAGCATTTTAAATCTACTTGGTACATCCAGAAGTAATTTTTTGACTTTTTTAACAGTTTTCGTTGTACTTAGGAATGTCTGAAAAGAACGTTTAGTAAAAACGGACAAAATGTACGGCTTTATTATATTCGTTTTTTTTTTTTTTTTTTATAATCTAATTAAAAATATTCGTAGAGACGAATACTTAAATTGATCTTTTATCTCTAGACGTGGTAAAATTTTAAATGCTGGTGATTTTTTTAGTTATTTATTAGCGTTTGATATTTTATAGTTTTTTTTTTAAATTTTATATGGTTAAAATTCTTTGGTCTTACAGAAATTATTGAAAATTAAACTTTAAGTTAGTTAAAATTAACAATACTAAAATTTACAAAAATCGTAAAAATTATCGGCATTTTAAAGTATGTTTATCCGAATTTCGCTCAGAATCATATTTCATCAGCAATGATTTATCACCGCATACCTAGTTTAATTGAACAATATACAATCATTTCTGTTTGGTCAAACCATTTTATCCACACATTATCTAGTATCTATCAAATAAAACTCGCAAGTATAAAATGTCCATAAATGGTTCAAATTTCGTCAAAATTTAACTACGTCTAGAAAAGGTCAATATAAATTTTCTGTCAAAATTCTTAGTCTTTACGAATATTTTTATTACAACAAAAAAAAAAAAAATTGAAAATAATCTTACGGATCTTACAGGAAAAACATTTCGTAATCCATCTAGATCTCAAATGAAACAAAAATGTCTTTTATTATTTTTTGATCAATAAACAGATACACGATATAAAATTAATTTGTTGACGGTTTTTTAAACATTTTTCTTAGAAAAACCGTTGGGAATCGAGAAACATGTTTCAAATAAACTATACTGGGCAAAAAATTCACGTCTGTTAATTTACATGGACACGGTTGAAACATTTTTACTAACCTGAGAAGTGTTTAGCGAAAGAAAAAAAAAACACATATCTTATAGCAAAACTAATACCATATAGTTTCTTCGCTGTAATCTGCAGAATATAAAATTATAATACATTTTAAGTTTATACAAATTATAAATATAATAATATAGATAATATATGTATAAATATATATATATATTTTTTTTTTTATTAAAACAATACAAAAACGACCAAATCTATACACGGAAACCTTACCGCAATAGCATTTCGTCCCACTTATATAATAATATAGTGTAGATAATGTTATGTAAAAATCTTAATTTAAAAAATAAGTAGTATAATTTACAAGGTAAAAGCGCCGAGGTCACATCACTAAATCGCGGGTCGTATATATCGAATCGGATAATATCGCGTTGTTTATTTATTCATTTATGTTTTATTTTTTTGAATATTCAGGCGACTTAACAGTGGAACATTTATAATACGAGCGACGAGAATAATTATATTTTTGCAGTTCTTTTAACCATTTCGGTTCGCGACCAGGTTTTAAATACCAGGTTAGCGAGGGATAATATTAAATTGCACGTGGGTTAAAACAAAGGTAAAATTCGAATTACAACATTCGAAGAGAACATTTGGGATTCAACAAAACTGATTGAAAAAAATTAACTTCATTTAAAAACTATCAATCTTGTACAATGGTCCTGAAAAATGATGGGATTCGATTAAGATAATTTAACGGATAACAACATTATTCAGCATGCAACATTTTAGTATTTCAAGACTGTATACTTGGGAAATATATAATTGCAGGGAAGGGAAATTAGGGTTTTTAAAACTTTTCCTTCAAGCTTTTTTTTTTGTTCGAAGTGCAGTTCGGCAGTTGATTGTTAATGACCCAAGTGCAGTTTATTTCGGTAAAAAGAAAGATTCAGTCGTCTCGGTGCCACTGAGCTCCTGCGTCATTTTATACATGGGCGTCGAGATTTTTTGCGATTCGCGTTTATTATATATATTATACATAAGTTCAAGTAAAAAAAAAATGCGTGAAATGTTTTCTGTCGACGGGGCATCTCCTTAAAATCCGATTATCAGTTTCAGCATGAAACCGCAGTCTAGTGGGTACTTACATGTACCTACGTCACAAAATTATGTACAATAAACTAGATTGCTGACCGCTACATCACAATTATGATTTTGGACTGATCATATACTTTTCGATAACTGTTTATCTGTATTTTTACCATTGTTACCGCGGTGATCAAGACCGTGATTACTATCTGTATTGTACAGAATAACAGTTATCACAGTATAAAAGTATACGATAAGGCCTACGAGTCTCGAATTAAATGGCGTATTCAAACTTCAATTCTTATCATCAGTTAGCAATCTATAGTTTCTTGAATATATTTGTGATGTACGCAAACCGGAGGGATATTTTCGTTCGAGCTTGATCGATTTACTGCCATCAAAACGCATACATATTCGTTCCGAACGACGTCAAACGATATTGATAATAATAATAATAATAATAATAATAATAATAATAATAATAATAATAATAATAATATAACAATAATAATAATAATAATAAAGTAATATAGTTAGAGTGTCTCAATTGTGTCGATTAATTGTTCTGAATTGATCTATCAAGTCTCTTTAATACAGTGAAATTATAATGAGTAGGTTAAAAGAATTTTTCGACCGAAGCACGACGATTTATTGCCATAGCTAAGCTTCTCAATAAAAGTCATAGCCACCACCGCCACCATGGCCGATGTCGTCGTGTTCGCCATACTTCTTGTTGTCGGACATTGTGTCATACTCGGCCTTGTGGTCGTGGTGCGATTTGTGACCGGACTCACCGCTGTGGCCTTTGTGTCCCTCGTGGTAACCGCCCTTGTTGTGATGACCACCTATGCCCTTGTGTCCCTCGTCGTAACCGCTCTCGTGGTGGGTGCCGTGTTTGTGGCCACCATCCTTGTGCGTGAAATCTTTGTGCGCGCCCCCGTACTTGTTGAACTTGCCGTGCTTGTGCGCGTCATCGTAGAACTTCGTGTCCTTGTTGTACTCGTCCTTGTGGTACACGTTGTGGAACCCGGTCGTCTTTTGGCCCTTCTTGTGGCTGGCCTCCTCTCCGAACTTGTTACCCTTAATTCCGTGCTCGGTACTCGTGTGCTTGCCGTAGTGATCGCCTTCGTTTTCGTGTGCGTGCTTGTGCCCGGACGCTTTTTTATAGTGGGCTTTCATGTCGTCTTTGCCGTACTTGCCCATGCTACCCTTGTCAAAGTCATTGTGATGTTTGTATCCGCTGTCACCTTTCGAACCATGCGAGTAGTAATGACCTGCTTTTTTGAACGATCCGCCCTCCTTCGAGTGGTGTCTGCCTGGCGACTTGTGCTCGTTGTACGTGTAAGGCGATCCGTAATAGTTCTAAAAAAAAAAAAAAAAAAAACGACCTAGTAGTTATAGATATGTACTTTAAGTATATAATAAGAAAGAGGAAGGAGTGAAGAAAATTAAATTTTCAAAATATCCCACACCTTATAAAAATTAATTGTTCATCAATGTATAACAAAAAAACAAATTATAAACAAAAAAGCAAACGGACATACTTGTGATAGGTTAGCCATTGTTGTAGGTGAGAAGTTGGAAAGATAGAAGGGAAATTTAATGTATATTTATACGTAAGGATTAACCATTAATAAAAAAACCGATTTTAAACGGAGTTCGGTTATACATGTTCTGAAAGACTATACTAATACGATTTGAATACAATTTGAAAATAATACATTTGGTAAATTTTTCTATTTTCCTACGTTTTTTTCTGGTTTTTCCAAATTTATTATAAAAACCTCTCAAAAATAAAAACAATATCCCTTTTAAAGTACGACCTCAGTCAAATTTTCTTTCAGAAAAGACGCTACACTTAAAAATCAGTGCAAAATTTTGGTAGAAAAATTGTTCATATATATAAAAAAAAATAACCAAATACAAAACCAATACATTTCTCCCTCCACTCTAAATTTAAAACATACCTATTAATAATAATCAAATACTATTATATCAAATATTAATAGAAAAATACTATTGGTTTATCATTGAGTTATAGAGCATAAGAGATAATTAAAATTTATTTGTGAAGAGAAAAAATTACCAAACCTAAATGTCATAACCGGATTGTTATTCGTCAAGAATAAAAATATAAAAATACCGGAATGGAGTAGGGGGTGTTAAGAGTGTTTGCCGTACCCTTTTACAATTTGTGTCCATTATGGCATTCAAGCTAAAGTATTTAATTTTTTTTTTATTGACATTTTGTGACCACATTACATTTCAAAAATGTGTTTTGACAATAATTCGCTTGAGACGTCTTGCTTCATAAAATATTTGCACACTCGTATAAAAAACTGAAATGATACCTTTGAAGTACCGCGCTTAATCAATTTTTTTACCGCCGATCCGGTTTAAATGTTGATGACTTCAAAAGGTTAAATCGTTTTTCGTCCACAATTGTACATGCTGAATCGTCATTACATAATTATGAGACATCTTCCGGGAATTTATGTGTGGTCGTAAGTACACTTTTGATTTGTGTATTCGTTTAGATACGAGCTTATATTATTGTAGTAATATCATCGGAGCTACCAGTAAAAATTCTACTCCACTACACCGCGGTGAATCACAATATATTATACACACGATATGCGTGTAAACTCATTTTTTTGCTTTTCAAACCAACAATAGTGGAGGATCTGTGCTTACATTATATGACATCACTGCTACCATCGTTTATTTAATAATTCAAAAGCTGTATGGGATATGTGTTGGCGGACCCACTATATCGCCTATATCAATACAGCAATGATGAGTGATGCTTAATGTATACCGAAATAACATGCGTAGAGAAAGTCCTGCATGCCCTGCCCGGCTCAAGGAGTCAACCAGCCTGGAGTATCTTGTATACTCGAATAATATTCTTCGACCACGTTCCGAGAAGATTTTTAATACTTTCGTATATTTCCTCATTGCTTCTTTTCGCAGGTTTTTATAAAAAAAAAAAAAAAAACTAAAAAGAAAATCGCATATGACTTCCCAGATGTACCGACAAAATACAATTTGCTTTCAAAAAAGATACTACTCTTGAAAATCAGAGTAAGATTTTTAATGCAAATGTCGTTCACAAAAACAAAACAAAAAATAGGCGTCCTAGGGGATAATCGGGGACGGGTGCAGTCACTGTATAGGTTATTTAATGTATATCTATTAGCAACGATTAACCATTGCTAACGAAAAAACGATTCTGATTGAAGTTCAATTGAAAGTGATACTTTTTCAATAATATATGTCATATTATGATAAAATAATTAAATAGGCATTATGTTATATTATCTATAATAATATTTTTTTAATGTACCAATTTTCCCGTTTTCCCTACATTTTTTCCGGTTTATCATGTTTTTTCCTGGTTTTTCATATTTTCTGGGAAAACTAATCGAAAAATGACCTTCTTAAAGTAGCTCCCCACACTAATCTCTTTTCAGATAAGGTGCTACACGTAAAAATCGGAGTAAGTTCTCTGGCAGAAAAGTTGTCCACAGGAAAAAAAAACTAAACATCTTTGTAAAACCATAAGTTTCTTCATTCCACTCAGAATCTAAAATATAAATAAGAAATGAAAATGCATCTTGATAAATAAAACATACTCAGAGTCTTAAATACATTACATTTCTTATTTGATTTTTTTTTTCAGAAATCAGTCTTTCTTATTATATCGATCGTAATTGCACATTGGCGAGATAGCATTAGAGTTGTACAAATGTATGCGTATAAATACTCTGTAAATATCACATTATCAATAAGCAACGTACATACCTACTATATATTATATACTATATAAACCCGAATTTTCGAGATCTGCAATTCGATGAAAAACGGTCGACGTTCATCATAAATCATGTTCGCGCGCACAATTCGCGCGAGGTGAAACTTTTGGCCTCGAGACCTTTGGCGAAATGCGAAACTATATATATACATAGGCTTTATAGGACGAAGAACAAATGGGATAAAAATGCAAACGCGTTAAAATATGTATAAGACGAAGAAAAATAGAAATCGTAAATCATAACGACAATGTTTAAAACGGATAGCGGGCGGGGTTATCTAAGACACGCGAGACGGTTTCGAATTGCATTCGAAATGTTATATATTCGTTTATAAATATATGTAATTTATCCATTTTCTTTTGTTCGGTCACCGTTTTGTGTATACTGCAATAACATAATATAATATATTCGTCCGAAAAACATATTATTATTATACTTAATAATATGTTGGCTGTCGATTTATTTCCGTCCCAAGCGAATATTCTGACGTCAAAGTGAAGCTCTTTACTTCCATTCTTAACGGATCCTCGTTCTTGATATTTTACCGAACATACTATTTCGTGTCCCTTTTTTATACCATGCCAAAAACCATAATCTTTTTCGTATTCCTTCTCATTCCACTTCTTATTAAGTTATGGCCATAACCATTCTCTGCACCGTATGCATCATTCCTATAATATCGATCCTCCATATCTATATTAGCATGAAAAGTTTATGTTTATATAATATTAAGTTGACTTATTTTAGTGTAGTTTCATTGCATATAATTTAAATTAATTTGTTATTTATTAACATCTACGTGTATTTTTGTAACACGATGAAACCATGTTATTTAGTAACTTATATAGTAATTATACAGTAACTGTTTTTCGTATCTGTAATAACGAAAAAAAAAAACTAGAACAAGTTATTTCTGTAATGAAAATTTGATTTCTTAATCAAGTTTATTGTCTCAATAGTTTTTTTTTCCGCGCAAAACAATATTTACAGTAAATTACGGGCAACCAACACATTCACAACATAAGAATTTAGACGTGTTTTTATTCCGAAGCATCGATTGGTCTAACGATCTAGTAAACAGATATAAATTCTAAAAAAATGTTTGAATTTGTTTGAATAAAGTCCATATGAGATCGATTTTTTTACTTTTTGGTTTTTTGTACAAAAATTACTCAAACAATACAATATCCATTTTTTAATAACTCTTTTTTTTTTTTAGTGTTTAAGGGAATACAATGAAAAATGTGGGAGAATCGATCTAAAATAGCCTTGGTGACAAATTCACATCTGCTTTTAACGATATTATCGCTTCATTATGGATCAATCGGCACGTTGCAATAAAAACACGTCTAAATTCCTATGTTGCGCGTGTATTAGACAAAGACGGAAAATCACCACTTCCTACAATGCCTATAAGCCTATAGTTTTAGTTACAACGTCATACATGATATTATTAAAACTGCGCAAACATTTCAGTTGCGAATAGTGCACTTAACGATGCCGTATTATATAAATTATGAGTATAACTACATAAGCTTTTGTATAGTTCGCCTACCTCGAAATTTGGCGATTATTTAAGTTTGGTGACATTTGGTACCGTATTGTCATTACGTGACGAGCAAAGTCAGTGCTAAAAGGCCGGAATGGCACGATCGCGGGAAAACAAATAAGTAATTATATAAATTTGTGTCTATTTTAGCGAGTTGGTCGGTATCGAATTATTATAATTCTCGAGTTTCGAAGTTTCGAGTCACCAACAATTCTATAACCTAACCTTTTTTTCCCCCGTTGTTTAATCGACAAGGTTCCGACACAAATTTTACGTCCTGACTTCAAAAGCGAGTGAGGCCTACCGTCGTGTATTAAAATTTTAAAACGGCTAAACCTACCTGATCGTCGACGCCGTGAGTGTCGCCTTTCGGGGATACGTCATGGTGGTACTTATACGGCGACGATCCGATGTCAAATCCAGCGCCGTTGTCGTAATCGTGATCGTGTTCGTGATCGTGATCGTCCACGAGCGGTCCCAAATGATCGTCCAAGTCGTGTTTGCCATCTTCAAAGTCGTCGGCCATCCCTCCACCGAAGTGGTGCGCACTTGGCCCGTAACTTCCGCCACCGACTCCACCGCCCAAGTGATCGCTGTAAAGGACTTTATCCTCTCCGACGACTGGTATATTGTAAGGAGATGCATGCTGTTTGATACCGTGGCCACCTCCGCCGACCGGCATCCCGTGAAAGCCATTTTCTCTTTTGAAATCTATACCGACAAACAATACAGGACTGTGAGTTGATTTCGTTAAACATGAAAAAAACACCAACATGCAAATACACACAGAGACGTAAATTTACATTTTTGATGCCTCGAGATTAACGTTTCATTAACGTCCTTTGTCTAAGAACACATTCTTTTAAAACACATAGATGTTCCAAGCTTCTTACTTTGTATTTTTTACTGCACACCTTGTGCTTTAAAAAACATTAATTTAGATCCTGTTGAGCAAATGTAAACGGTTGAACGAAGTTCATGTTAAAAAAAAAAAAAAAAAAAACAAAGCAAAACAAATGCTTATACTCTAGTATATTTTTGTAAATTATCCATTTTAGATCATAATATAAATATACGATAATATCTATTTTGGATACATTTTTTCAAATATGTACATTATTATTAACGCGTTGAATATAAAAATTGTTTGTTTTTTAAGAACTGTACTACGAAAGTAGTAAACATTGTAAATTCTTATAATATAGCTATTTTAAGCATGGGTGAAAACCATATTAGTGTATCCTTATAGTATTTTTTTTTTTTTTTATTTGTTGTTTTGACTATGTAATTGTATTTTCCACACACATTTTCGGTAACTTAACATTTTATTTATTTGCTTTTCGGAATATAGACGGGTTTAACCCAATTAAATGTTTTACAATTAATAACAAATAAACTGAAATATTATAGTCGATTAAAATTGTACATAATTGATTATAATAAAGAAATAATTTAAATAATAATAACTCACAATGACAGTAATGAGAATTATAATAATTAATCCAACAAGGAATATTAGGGACTCGTCGTTGGTCAATTTTATCATTATATCCATAGAATTATTTATTTTAATTAATTGTGCTACGAACTGTATATTATTATAGCTTTGTTCCAAATAAAAAAACAGCTGTGTTCTAATACAATTTAATTTTCCATACCCAATGGTCCCCCTTCCCCTCATCACCACTAACAGATAAATGTCCGACTACTCTTCTGTGCTTAAGGTGGTATAATATTATGTATCATTATTGTTCGCTCCATAGCACACGCGGCCCTTACCGATATTGTTCTGCCGTAAATTCAAGAAATAACGCGCTCGCACACTTTTTAATTTATAGGTCTCTCATTAGCAGGAACGTATTTAGGAGAGGCCCAGGGAGAGCATTGGCCCCGGGTGCCTCATTTCAAGGGGGCGTCATAATCTTTTAAGACATGGTAAAATATCAGTCTGTATTAAATACCAACCCCATCCTACAGTTTACACTGACCCAGCAACGCCCGAAATTTCAGTGTGTTGTTAATAAAAGATGTGTTTTTATGAAAGGGAACTAAAAATGTAAATACGCCTCTGGCGATTAGTCGATAGTAATAATATGATATTATTATTCCAATTATTCAGCCACCTTCACGTACCTCAATTATTCATGTGTACATAATATATATGATTATTATTACGTACCTGTACTTTATATTTTTAACAAACAATAAAAAACATATTTTATGGGCATTGTGTTTGCGGTAAGGATACCTATTTGTTAAGTTTTTATTCGGCCATTTTATTACATTCACGGTTAGTGCGGCGTTGACAACGGAGTAAACCGAATAAATAACGCGAAATTACTTCATCGTTTTGAATTCAATTTTTTTTTTTATTATTTCATTATTATTCCGACGTCTGACAGTGGATTAACTGCACTCAGAAAGGACGTTCCGGACATTTTAAAAAAAAACGTCCGATATTTCGAAAATTTCTACGGGTTATTATTAATAATTCCCTTTCATTATACTCGTTCAGTGTAAATCATGTCGAATTTATCGACAGTCGATACTGTATAGACAATAGTTATCACACATTCAGACAAACGTTTTTAATGGGGTTTTTGTTTTATCCAGTTGTTGGATTAGGTTGTTAGGTTCCATCAGTACTACCGTCAAACATCATTCGTAAACCGAAGCGATTATTATTGCTTGTTAGGCACTTGGACAAATTTAAATTTGTCCCTTAATTTATTTTTCGAGCGGCCATAATAATATCTACCTATTAAGTGTAATTTTTATCGAAGTGTCCTTTCTCGTTACTTTGCAGGTGGCCTGGCTTTGAAGAATATGTTATACTGAAATTACGAAAGCGGAAAGTTTAAAAAGTTCTAACATAGGTATCTATAATGAGGGCTGAAATTTTAATGCACTTTGTATTTATTTGCCAAAGATTGCCATATTCATTTTGTTATAAATTCGTTTCATGTAGTTTTGAAAGAGAATAATAAATTTGATTTGCATTTATTGTCCATTTTTTATTCGGAAGTCATTATCTTCATTCAAATTTGAAATTCGACTTCATTATTTATAGAAACAAAAATGATTTATGCATAAGAAACAATTAAGAAGGTACCTTTATTCGTATTATATTGTCAGACAGTAGTAATAGTAATGTCAAAAACCCAGCTGATAACAAGTAGCTTGTTTTGTAACAAATTCGTTTCATGTATTTTTGAATGAGAATATGAAATATTATTTTGCATAGTTTTAAAATTTTTCATTTAAAAAAAAAAAATTTTTATTTTAGTGGACTTAGTATTTTGCATTTTTTGGATATAAAATTTTTTTTTTTTAAGGGGGCATATTTTGAATTTTAGGTGACATTACATTCCCAGGCCTATAAATATAATGAACATACATCTTCTTGGGAAATACGATTCGTTTATCATTCTATTACACTGTAAATTGTTCAATTTATATACTTAGGAATTTTTTGATAACGTACATCTATTAATTTTTTTCGGACGACAACTGTAACGGTTTTAAAACGAAAAATGACTATTGCAAATCGCCGACAGACAGCTAAGTAAGTAGATTTAGTTACCAATAATAGTAATAATAATAATAATAATAATAATAATAACAATAATATCATAATATAATAGTTTGATTGGTGTAAAGCGAGACAAAATAATATTGACAAAAAATTATATTTGCGACACTACGTTGACGGATCAAACGGCGTGCGGCAACGAGTACCTATATGCGATATTTTATTTGTGTAACACTACGGAATCAAATAGGTGATTTCTACAACTCAAAACTTTAATTTACTAGTTACGCCAATAACATGACACCCGATATATATATATATATATATACATTTAAATTTATATTACATATCTTTGCACGTCATATTATTATGATAATAGATGACGGATACCGAATTTGTTTGGTTGTAAAATTTTCCTGCAAATATATTGTATTATAGAAATCGTTCATATTATATTATCGTCATTCGAACTATTGAAAACCTATTTGTGCGTTGCGACACGAATAGGTACGATGACGGGATAACATGTAAATACAATTGACGGAAACAAATGAAAAACATTAACGAATCAGGCATGTGTCATCCGTAGTAAATGCAGGTGCTACCAAATATTATCACAATGCATTTTATGACGTGATTTAGAGTATTGATTTAGAACGACGATGTACGACGATAACATATTATTTTTTATCATGGACTGATAAACAATAATATTCACAAATACTGATAATGTTGTTGGGTGTGTTTTAAAAGGGAATTTGGAAGGGAGAATAATATATGGAGTAATTTAATTTAAATGCAATGATAAACCATTATTAACGAAAAACGATTTGTTGCCAAGGTAAATTAGAAATCGACAAAACATGATACACGATTTAAAAAATGAACTTATCAATGCATCAATAATGCTATAAGAAAATACCTACACAGTTTTTGATTAGAGCAAGATTTCTGGTTGTAAAGTGGTTCACAGACACAACAAAAAACACATTACAGTAATACCAATAGATTCCTCGCTTAGTTTAGAATCTAAAACAACCGTAGATTTTTGATCGTGACCTATGATTCGGCACGAATAAATCTTTACTGATATTGTTGTTGCATAATCTCTATGGATTATCTCTTGAACGAATTTTGCATATCTTCGTCGTGCATTTCAGAAACTCGCCAGTGTGAGTGCAGAGAACAGAAAAAAAATACTAGTATTACTAAAACCCGTTGTCAATTCTCTATTCGTATGATATAATGTGAAGAATAGCAGTAACGAAAACCAATAACGGTAAATTGTCGAGATATCAGTATTAATATTGTTCAGGAGAATAAAAAACTGATATAAACTGTGTTTATGAAAAAAGACTCAAGTCTATTTTTCGTAATTTGGGTTTAAAACCCATGAATTGTATCTTAAATGATGTATTGTCACAAACCAATACATATAACCATGTACATAAAATAAATACTTTGCCAACAATCATAAACAAAATAACAAGAGTGAAATTGTTCACAAATAAAATTTAATTTTAAAGGCACATATTATCTTTTTAGTTTATTTTTACGTCAAAATTTGTATTTGTGGATTTAAATATTTACGAATTTATATTTATAATTAAAAGATTTTAAAAATTTAATACATTTGTATTTTGTACAAAATATTTATTGAAAATTTTTCTTTATTTAAGACTAATTTATAATTCATTAAATTAACTATTGCCTTTATGGTTTTCTTTTTCACTTACCTACAGTTCTTCTCAATATTATTATGACGGAATAAATTCACACAGAAATTTCAATCCGCTGTTGCGAACTGTTGCAACGGGAGCTGCACGGCTGCAGCAGCGGTGACAAATATGGCGGATGCTGTGTTGGAGAAGAGGGTGTTTGTGGAACGTAACCTTTGTTGCGACTGATCGGATAGTTAATTAATTACGAATTTTAATGCAATTAAAACAAACAAAAACGTAATAAAACGAATAGTACACACAAAAAAATAAAACATTCACACAAAGGGGCCCTAGCCGCTTTGCCGGCAATAGTAATTATCATATAATCGATTCGGGTCACTTATGTACCGCGGCAAAATTCCACGAGTAACGACAAATCGTTGTCATTTTTACCCAAGGCAGCCAAGGACGCGACGTTCGGTGATGCGCGAAGCATTCAAGTTCAACCGGTAAAATCGGCGACAACGTTACGCGCGACGACAGTGAAAAACTAACAATAAACACGTGACGCTTTTCTCCGGATGATGAAAACAACGGTGGCCGCACTAGAAAAAAATATCGGGAAAAAAATCGATCATGTGTCGCAATTAGATGGATTTTTTTTTTTCTGTTAATGTCATTAACCCTCGTCGTAGCGTAATAATACTGTCGGTCGAGCGATAAAACGGACGGCAGCAATTGTATGGTCTGTAGGTATTACTGTCGAAACACAATAATTATAAGAAAAACCTCGTGTCTGAAAAAACTGTCGCAAGTGTGGCCGGTAAACGGAAATGCGATTCTAAATGAAGTTCTGCGAAAAAAATACTTTTGACTAAATTAAAACTGTGAAAAAAAAATGATCTGAACGTACCCTAATTATTTAACGTAAATATTTCCGTTTTCTTGACTTTTTTTCTAGCAGGTAATTCAATTAATAAGAAAAGTATAAGGGCATTTTAAAAAAATTACCTCTCAATGTATCCGAAATGCTACAAGAAAGTTTTCAACCTGGACGATAATTCTTTCGAAAGTCGAAAATTTGTTCACAGACAATACAATTATAAAAGTTATTCAAACAATCCAAAACAGAAAGTATCGTCCACTGAATTTTGATAAAACCGAAATTAACAAACAACCTAGTTAGCACACGTTGCTGTAGTTATAATATACTTTTCTGCTAATAAGATTATTCCAGTACAGTGATATTTAGATTGAAAAATTTTGAATTATTCCGTCGACCTTTTTTGACAATTCAATTATTATGGAATAATATTAGATCGTTATATTCATGTTATATTCCTTTTTGTATAGGAGGAAAAACGATTTATACATATTACTCACATTTTCAAGTATATTGTTTTCTTAATATAAAATGATTATTATCATTTACATTCTACATTAATTATAAAAAAATTAATTCTTAAAAGTGTACGTTTATCATAATACATTATCAAGTGAATACAATTATAATATGGAGATCATTTTTGTTTTCAAATTAAAATTCCTAAGTCAAAAATGAAAATTTGTCTACTTCTGGAAAACTTTTTTTTAAACTTATAAGAATTTTAGTAAGTACATTAAATAGGTAAATTATTTTTAATTTTTAGTAATTATTTTTTTTTTAGGGAATCATTGGGTTTATATTGGACAATAAATTCGCAATCATAATCATAATTTTTTCGATTTTCACTTGAAATTCTCAAAAACTTCCGAATCCAAGAATCATCGCGTTATAATTTACTTTTACCGAACGGAATAAAATAAAATCCTTTCGTTGAAGAACCAATGTATAGCTTGCAAAAATCACAAATTATCGACTCTGTTTCTTATACATATAGTCGATAAATATACAAAAATGTTCGTTTTAGTTAAATATCCACTATCGTCGAATCGTACATTTTTCGATTGCATTTTCGGGGCCTATATTTTTCGGCCGCCACCGCCACCGCTGATCGAGTCCGGTGGCGTATTCACGGGTGAGGATACCCCTCCCTCCCAATCGGAACTCAACTTTTACAGCGTTAACCATCCGTTTAAACTTTATTTTTGTACCACCTAAAAAATGACCTGTAAATACGCTACTGCTCGGGTCACACGTATTATACTATTGTTCCGTCACGCGTCGAAACAATTGGCAATTGCAGCAGCATTATTGGAACGCTGAAAATAACACGAAACGTCAAACACGATAATAATATAAAAAATACGCGGCCCTGGTAATAAAGATATATTAATAGGCCTTGCCGGAGCACACATATTATGTATCGAAACCGACACGTTTTAATGCTCGAATATTATTATTCGAACGAACGCCAGGTGTTTAGGAATAATATTATCATTACATTTAGTGCCGCTTTGAACACTATACCACAGACTGCGGTACATTACATTCCGCCGAACCGATTTTGTTGCATTTTTCGGTTTTAGTTTCTGGGCGAACGTATTGGTTTTTACTATAATGATAGTATATGTTTTTTTTTTTTTATTTTGTCAGTTTTGTTAAAAATTTCGACCAGAATCGTTGCTCCAATATCGTCAACGTCGTGTTTTGTAATTTTTTCTAATATTGTAAAGGTGATTTTTTTTTGATTTTTCTTGTAGTATTCGTGATGATTAGAAGGAATGGAATAATTTACGTAATAAATAAGGTCTCTGTGAATTTAAATTTTGTTTTAGATTCTGAACTTATATCGTCGATTTCAGGGGTGACTTTTAACAGCAAAGTGTGTAGTTTAGTCGGCTCATTTAGAAAAGTGGTTTTAAATAAACCAGGAAATCAAATATTTCCTTGTATTTTTTTTTTTTTTTTTTTATAACTGAGAAAACCAAAGATAAATAGTTTGCGAAACGGGATGATTTATGTCAAAAAGGTTTCTGTTATTTTCGATTTTTTTTTTTTTGTTGCAATTTAGTCGAACATAATAGACGTGGAGATCTGACATGATTACAGAATACTTATATTTGTCTTCTCTAGTTCTGTTACAATTTTAAAAAAATCTGGCGATTTTTAAGCTATTTACACTGGAAACTGTCTAATTTTTTAAAAATTGTATTCTGTTTTAGTGCATAGAAATGTTGTCATTTATTTTTATTTAAAACTTGAATGCGAATAATTAATCAAAAAAAGAAAAATAATAAAAAAAATCATCGTTATAAAAATATCATAATATACCTATTGTAGTTAAATAATAATCGCAGTTTTAATATACGAACCGATCCGTTTTAATTATAACGATAATTACTATCAATTATATCCGAGTTTGTTATTATAAAGTCGAGAGAGTTTAGTCTCAAATGTGACTATATACGAGTACATTATATTATATTGACGTTATTATTATTGATGGTCGTTTTCGAAATTATTATTTTAATATTTCACGCGGACGATGACAATGAAATGCGAGCCAATTAAATTAACCGAGCACTATATAATATTAATAATAATAACGCAAATACAAATTACAACCCCCGGATCGGTAGAAAAATTACGTATTTATTAAACTAATGAAAATCGTAATATAATAATATTATCTCATCTCTTTCGACTGCCGTTTACGTTTTATAGATTCTGAATGGAGCTCAAGAAGCTTATAGTTTTACAAAGATGTTTATTTATTTTTTTTTTTTTTAATTTGTGCGCAACTTTTCCACCAGAAGACTTGCTCGGATTTCTACGTGTAGCGCCTTTTCTGAGAGGAAATCGACGTGGGGAGATAATTTTTTGATTTTTCCAGGAGTTTTTCCAGCAAATTTTAAAAACCGAAAAAAAAAACGAGAAAATACAAGAAATGTAGGTTAGGTATTAATTAAAATATATTACCACCTTCATTTTTTCTGTGCACAACTTTTTCATCGGTAATTTTGCTCTAACTTTTAATAATAGCAATGTTTCTAAAAGGAAATTTTACTTGCGAAGTACTTTAGAGAAGACATTTTTCAATTTTCTCAGGAGTTTTTTCATTAAATTTGATAAACCAGGATAAAACATGGGAAAATCGGAAAAAAACGTAGGAAAACTGAAAAATCGGTACAACATCCTAGGACGTATTTTTTTCAATTTAATTTTAAGTTACACACATTATTTACGAGACATATTTCTATTGGGAATCAAAATATGTAGTGTTTTCATCACGTTTGTAATACGTATATATCATCGTATCTTGTAAAATCACAAATTTTAGATTTTGAGCGGAGCGAGAAATGTATTGATTTTATAATGATGTTTATTTTTTAAAAATTTTTTTTTCTGTGAACAACTTTTCACCAGAAATTTTGCTCTAATATTTAAGTTTAGCACATTTTATGAAAAGAAATTTGACTAAGATGGTACTTTAAACGAGTCATTTTTTCATTTTCTCAGGAGTTTTCATAATAAATGGGAAAAACCGAGAAAAAACGTAGTAAAAACGGGAAATTTTACGAAATGTATTATTTTTAAAAAAATATTAAATGTTACGTACATATTACGGCCTTTCAAAACTTGCACAACCGTACTCCGCTTAGAATCGTTTTTCGTTTGCAATAGATAATCATTGCATACAGATATTCTTTAAATTTTCTCTATACCTTCTCAACTTATCACCTACAGCAGTGGTTCACCCATCGTGTAAAGTATGTCCGTTTGTTTTTTGTTTATGATTATTATTTACAACGACATAAACTGGAGAGAGGATACAAGGCTTTCTGATATTTCGTCTAGATGAACTTTAAATAATATATTATCAAGGATTACATCAAGGATGGCAAGTCCAAGTAATACCCGAAAGAGCGCAAAACCGTTTAATGATGACTTACGCCACGACGATAAATTTTTTAAACTATATTTTATTTTTTCAGTCAATATTTATATGTAAATATATGTTTTTTTTATTTAATTTATTAGGTAGTATAATATTACTTTAAATCAAGAAACAAATATCACGTCATTTGTTTTATTCTATAACTTAATAACTCAGGAGAGGTGTGTTGTTTTTAGGTAGGTTTTTTTGTAAACGAAATTTTTTTTTTATTTTGATTATTACATAAATACGCCTCTGGTTACGGTACAGTCGAATACTGCAGCAATGATGGAAAATATCATATCATTATCGATAATAATTTTTAATCTCGATTATCATTAATAATCGATCATTATATGCATTTTTATTTTGTGAAAAAAAAACAGATTGATACATATTTAAAATTGGATTTTGTTCGTTTTCCTCTTTTAAATCAAATAATCATAATTTGAAATCAAAAATATTTTTAAAAAAAAGTAATTATCATATTAATTTGATATGTATAGACCGATATGAATCTATCATAATATTGATCTATAATATATTTAAATCTGTTTAGTAATAAAATGACAAAATTTAAGCAACTCTGTAACTTTGAAGTTATTTATTATCCATTAGAATGCGTTGGATACGTGGAAGTCGATTTATCAGTACCTAATAACTTGACGGAATTAATTTTTTTTCAAATTACTTATAAGTTGATACAGCCATTCGACGCATATTTTTAACAAAATTCACCAATTCATACAATAATAAGTAATAAGATAGATGCAAATAAGAAGTCGTTGTGATTAAAACGTTCAATGTACTAAACGAATTTGAAATTATAATTGTTTATAATGATGCTGGCAAAAAAGAGCATATTTAAAAATATACATCTCTAAGAATTTTAACCACAATCGAACATATTGCATCCGTTGATCTTCGCGTTCGTGTTTAATTATTAGGATTTGTTTGTATAATCGTTTCGTCCGATTAATATCGATCGGATGCTGCGAATAAAGCCGTATATAATAATATTATTGTAATATCGTAACTGTTTTATTTATTTCGTTTTTATCTTTATCGAAAAGGTTATCGGCATGCAAAAAAAAAAAAAAAAAATATAATAGTAATAACCGTTGAAATTGCACCAGGGGGACTATTATTACATCAATATTTAAGTTCCCGATCTGTTAACAAGTTATTGGCGCCGTCGACGGCGTAAATGTAATGTGATTTGAGTTTTCTACTTGAGGGGCTTATATTATTATTACGCATGTTCCCATATATATATTTAGGTAGGTATATACAAGATAAAGTTTTCGAATTGTTCCGAATTCGGCTAAAACTTGTGTAATAAAACGTCCTTCTCTATATTATATTACAATAACCGGTGTTAAAAGTATGGTGGTAGGCAGCTAGGTGTAGGTGCAGTATTAGACACACAGTTGTTTTCGGTGTGTGCGAAAATCGACAAATACCATCATCAAACGGTGTCAGCATGTAGGTGTGTATACTTTGATTTCGCATAAATTATAATATTATTCGAATAGTGCGTCTATTATAAACTTGAAATATTCCAAGTACGAATTTCCAAAATGGAATGCACCCACTTCACTATTCAAACTATTTAAATACGTTTATACATGCGAAGCGAAAATATTACAGTCCATCGACGTTATTTTGGATGAACCTGCATAATGTATTATTTGGAAATATATGGTAGGTAGAGATTCTTGTTCGCTATTTGAGTAAAATATTTCAGTAACCAATTTGTTAAAATGATAAAATTGTGTAATTTGAATCGTTTTCGGTGAAATATTTTTGAAATTGCAGGTATTCGCGAAAAACTGCAATACCGACATATTAGGCTAGACCTAAATTATATTGGGTGCTAAAACTATTAGTAGTACACAAACCTGATTGGGGGGGAGGTTGGGTGTCCTAATAATTAATCCCAAAATAATTCTTATTGCAAATTCCTTAAAATAATAATTACCTATAGTTTTACAATATCGTTAACAATTTGAGCTTCAACTTAGTTATTTTTAAAAATGAGCACAATTATTATTAAAAATACACAATTTCTTATAAATTAAATTTACTGCATGGCATGTGATACGATCAACGAATAGCTAAGTACAAATAAAATTGCAATTTCCCCTGATGATATTGATGAATGAAAAACGAATCACATTTGGAAAAGGTTAAAAAAAATGTTCTATGAAAAATCCAGGTCTCTACGATTATTTTTAACCGAACTAAAACAAAAAAAAATCCGAAAAAAATTAAACCATTAATACCGTAAACATTCTCGTGCTTCCTATGTTTTTTCCGGGTTTGTCCCAATTATTAAGAAAACTACCCAGAAATTAAAAACCAGTTATCTAATTTACCAACTAGAAAACATTTTCTTTTAGAAAATGTGCTATTCTTAAAATATTGAGCAAGATTTCTGGTAGAAAACAAAAATCGATCAAATTTAAAATAATGAAATGATTAACGCCGTAAGTTTTCCCAATTTTTATTAAAACCGTTTGAAAAATCAAAACATAATCCGTTTCACACCAACTATATCCGAAGTACAAAAAAAAAAGATTATCTGGAATGTATATTTTTTTGAAAAATAAATTCATCCAAACAAATTTATAATTTAACGGAGTTATGCGCAAACATATTAAATAATTACATCACCCAATTACGAATAGAGGACCTTCTATTTTGAAGTCGGTTGTAAACTATTCGGAATTCGAGAGAACTGTAAAACCGTTTTCCGTTTTTATAACACTTTTTCAAAACGTCGTACTGATGTAATACTCACTTTCTAGTATGGCGTCGAACTTTTCGTCGTTGCCTTCCCCGAGCTTTATGAACACCGGCGGGCTCTGTCCGTCTGTTCTGTAAATATATCCGGACGCCGACGCCTCCAGATCCTGAACTTGGCCACGTTCCTTGACGTACATCGCCGCGGTCCGAGCACCGTACACTGCGGTCATCGTCGAAAACACTAAGGCTGCGAACGTCACGATCACCAGACCGATGCGAAAATTCATTTTTATCGATTTACAGTGAGAAAGAAAAATTTAATATTTAACTAACTTATGTATTACTGTAAAGATCACTTTGTCGACGATAAAAATCCGTGTATAATGTTGCCTGTGCCGGGCTGGGCGGTCGTATATAAAGAGGTGTACCCCTCTCTCGCTCTCACTTGCCTGGATTACGAGGGTGGGGGGGAGGGTGATTTGTGAGTATAACGAGGGTCCTTGGTAGAAACGCTGTGGCTGGACGACCGATGACGACGATGCGGGTGCAGTGTTCGGGTACGGTTGACAAAAAAAAAAGAAAAAGACAGATGAAACAATATTATGTATAGGTATTTTATTTCGTTTTTATTTTTTTTTTTTCTCAACCGGAGATTCCGTTTATTATATTATTATTACCTATATACGAATGTACGGACTGCGTGCTGCACCAGACGACGGTGGACCTTGAATTCGTAACGGTCTGGAAAAAATGATATTATCCGAACCGCACCGTGTTATTGTTGTATTTTTTGTAAGGTAGCCGTCTATAATTTGTCGGTTGTTGAGAACTTACTCTGAGCGTAGATACTTGCAGGTATGTTCACTGGCGGATTCAGAAGCAGAGGTTATGTGGGGCCAGCATTGTGTTTTATCTATATATAAGTATATATATTTGTACATTTTATTTTATCCAGATAAATGAGAAATATGTTATCTACAAGAATTACCGAAAAAAAAAAACGTCAAAATAACGGGAAATTTTACGAAAATAATGCTTTTATTATTTTCACTTTTGGTTTTTCATTGTAATTCAGGTTATAATATTTGTAGAGACTTAACATTTTAATATAAACGATTTATACTTAATTTTTCTAAGTGTGATACAATTTTCAAAAAATTCGAGTTTTTTGAGCTAATTATAGATATTTTACGTCATTTTTATTTAAAAGGTAATCTATAGGTAAATCGCTAGACTTGAAAATTTAATAGAAGATTCATTAATAAGTCGTTCTTAGTGGGCAAAAAAAAATTGAGTTTCATGTAATATTTTTTAATAAGAGTTTTAAAATCAAATTTTGACGAAAATCGTAAGTATTCAAAATATCTATAACCGAACTTCAATCCAAATTGTTTTTCGTAATCAATGGTTTATCGTTGGTTACAGGTATAAATTAAATAACTTCTTGTGTTTCACCTTCCTCATTACTCACCTGCAACAGCGGTCGCACTCGTCCCAAGTATCATCTCTTTTTTCTTTTTTTTTATCGTGATGAATATTCTATAAATTATCTCTTATCATTATTCAGATATTATTATAAAATCTGTCTTTATACAAAACGGTCGAATTTCCGTTCCCCCTATCTAACAAATAAAAATATAATTAACGTTTGAATTCGTCACTGAATGTGTCTTTCTTGTTTATTAACTAAAGCAGTTACAATATATTGCGCTCGGAAGAAGTATCACATTCGCGCAGCAGCAATGTAGCGAAAAACCAGGGGACAAAAAATATTACGACAATATTTTTTAGCCGATTATAAATCCTTCGGAATTTCCACGTATGGTAAATAAACTGTCCGCGGTTTTCCTAACAGTTTTCCGGACAATTTTCTCTGCGTATAATAGTATATCGTTTTCCCATGTATATTATACTATCAAAACAATAATAAATAGTATTATAAGCGCGTATTTTTATTATATTAATGGTCACATATTATATTATATTGGGTATCTGCGTGATATCGAATTATTGAAAATTACCGATTTGGCGGCGTGTCGACGACAGGAAAAATCGCGAGTCAAACGGTGTCCCGTAAAAATCACGCGAGATCCATAATATAATAATAACATAGAACCTTTTTTTTTTTTTTTTTTTATGAAACACATTCCGTTGATAAGACGTATTATAATATTCGGACACATTGATTGATATAATGTACAGCGATTTTCGAATAACATGTTATCAAATAATACGAAACATTTATGGTCCAGTATTACATATTATTATTATAGGTAGGTATATGTACCTTGCGTATTATTTATGATTATTATTTATTACCAACGCCAACGGCAGATTAACAAATAATATAACACCTAACGTAGTCTTTTCTTTTTTTTTAAATTGCCGCTTAATACGCGTCATACTCATTTTCGACATAAGTAATAATATAATATTCACGTACAATATACTAATGCGTTTTTATTTTCCTATTATTATACCTATATATACCTATATCTAACTAGGGATGGGCAAGATACTTGAAAATGGGTAGCTGTAATTAATACCATCGATATATATCGATTTTCGGTATCTAGGTATAGTGCACTATGTATAGTCTATAGATACATATATGTAATGAGTATGGTAGGTTTTGCTCTTACACTTCTCATCTACACTTTACACACACACACCTACGGGCAAAATACTTCAAAATGGATATCTATAGATTTTTACGATTTTTAAAACATTTTACCGTTTAAAACTAAAACACAATTATGATCGAATCCATAGTCACAAAAACTTTCTAACCAACTATAGGCCGGACTGAAGGTAGAAAATGTGCACATTTTATTACAATTTTATTCTCTTTTTAAATCGATAAAATGAATTCAGCGAACTAAGAATTGACCATAGGTACTTGCTTCTTACCTATAATAAATACATGTATATATATCGTTGAGGTTTTTAATATAATATAAAAGGTGCTTTCAAGAAATGGCAATAATACATTTTTTAAATTATGTTTTATTTTATTTTATAATATTTGGGTATACACTAGGTTGTTTTTTCTTATTTTACTACGTATTCAAAATACACTTTATTACAAAATATATGAATTTAAAATATGCACGTAAAATGTTAAAGAAAACAAAAAAATAAACCGGAAATACTTCCCACAGCTGGTGGGCTAGTGTTGTATGTGAGAAGTTTGGAAGGTAGGATATAGAGGGGAATTTAATTTATATTTATACTCAACGATAAGCTATTGCTGATAAAAATTATTCAGGGCGAAGTTCGGTTATACATGTTTAACAAAAAAAGAAAAAACGTAATATTTACGATTTTTATCAAAACTTGATATAAAGTCTTATAAAAAAAAAAACTACATTAAACACAATAAAAAAAATAATAAACACAGTATGAATTAGAATAAGAAATAAAAACAGAAAAAAAAATAAATAAACATTATTGTAAAACCAATACATTCCCCGTTGCGCTCCGAATCTGAAAAATCGGATTAAAGCTGTTTGGCGACGGTCAAGATTGTCATCGTCGGTGCAAGAAAATAATGTGACACGTGTGAGTTGTGTATACCTATTGGCGATGAAATTAATTGCATACAAAAACGATGAGTTCGGGAATTCTGCAATTCTGTGCGTAGTTCCCGGAAACGAAAATCGTTTACTTTATTAATTTTCTTTTATATAAACTCAAGTGGTTATATTCTGTGTGTACAAATATTTCGTTGGTAAACAACGTGCGCTCGTCCAACACGCACAGCTGCAAGCACTCGTTAGATTTGTCACTGTGAACGAAACACAATCAACGCGATCAAAGGATTTTTCGCATGGCGGTGATAATAATTTCTATTGTACGATTCTCGATTGTCGAGAATAGGTACTAGAAAACTTTTTGTGTGTGTGTGTGTAAAGTTTGCGCTGTAAATGTCGGCGTCGAATATTGCTCTGCATGCGGTTTTTGTGTGGGCTTCGTAATAATATATGTATATCACAAGTGATTTTAGTACACAAGTCTAAATAATCGTATTCCAGCATAACAAACATACAATTACTGTGTAAGTATGTATACTCTTATTATTATCGCAAGGTCTTCAACATGTAGGTAATATTTTCTAGTCGAAAAATATGTTAAATAATTTCGATTATATCCTAACAAAATGTCCGTGTTATCTCACGTTGACTCGTTGCGAGTAATTTTAGTATATCTGCATAGTGATAATAATATAAGAAAAGAATAATATTGAAAAGAGAGGTTCCAGTACTGTGTCAAATTTATGATAAACTTTTGTTATTAAAACACCTTCTTGTTCACTGCTAAAACCACGCCAAAATCAGATCCAGCTCTAAAATTCTAGACGACCTATACCAAGTACTGACCCACTAGAGAACGAAACTATGAAAATTATCTCTTTTCTATAAAAAAAATTAATATGTACAATTTAATTTGGATTCACAATTATCTGAACATGACCATACATGAGCCTGGGTGTGCCTTTTACCTGGATTTCCAAAATTCAACCTCTATAAAAAATGAATCACTCGGGATTATTGATGTTATAAGAAAATAATCGTTTAATTTTTTTTATTTCCGGGTTACCTTGATGAATAAAAGATGAAATTGAAGAGATAAAGTTAGGTTAAAAATATATGTACCTATCTATTCTCAGCTTCAAAAGCACACTACTGGTCTAAAGTTCACACAGATTCTTTCATTATACATTATTGATTGCCACTTCTTTCGGATTATTGACATTTGAAGATCTCAATTCAATTTGATTCAATTCATCATTCTATTCAATTTTTTTCAATATATCCAGTGGCCTTTTACTTTAATTTTCCATTCTAGAGCATTTTTCATTATGCTATTCAACATACATACGTGCCTTAGTCAGCCCATTCTCTTTCCTATAAGTGTCTAGATTTTGTTCTATTCTTATAAAATTTATATTATCTCAACATTACTTCTTACTTCATATTAACCAGTTTGCTCACATTTATTTGGTCTAAATATGCGCCAAAATAATTTTCTTTCCATGAACTGCCAATCTAATTCTTACGTCCTCTTTTGAAGATGGCCACATTTCACAAATTTATCGGTTTTGTTTATATTTGTTGATAAATTAAACAATGAATACATATGCTGAACTCCACAAAAGAAAAACCTCACGTGAGTGCTCAAAAATTTTTAGAGAATCTTAATAACATAGTGTTGAAAAAAAAAACTAGCTAACAGTAAAAAAAAATAACTATGCATGTTTTAAGAACTATTCAAAATCAGGGACAAACAGTATTGTTCATACACACATACGAAGAACAAGAGTATAGTCAGTTTGTGTGTTACTTAAGCACAATATCGTTTTCCGAGAAAATATATC